ATTTGAAATTATTTACCCCATTAACATATGTGATAGTCATCTATAAAGAGTTAAAACATAATAGCTGCTCACAGTCAGCGCATCGAAGGGAATGTTCTTCGTCGCAATTGTTTGCACTGCAATCCTATGAGATCAGGAGGAAAGCAAAATTAAGCAGGGGTTTGTAAAAGGAGATGCTCTTATCATGATTAAATGTTCATGACTATTATATAGTCAAATTGAGTGTTTTTTCAAGATTTATCAGGCACATATACATTACTGCAAAAAACGCAAAATGTTCGCCGACAACGGGATTCGAATCTGCATCGCACAGCTGCAAACCAAGACACTTACCGCTGCGCCACCCTAGCATTTGCAGTCTGGCACAAGTACTCCCTATTGTAGGTGGCCTTATGGAAACAACGGCCCATATTTTTTCTAGAAAACCGTTTCGCAGACATGGAAGACAAATTTGAGTTTTCCATATCCAACTTGTTATTATATCTTGTTTTGAATGGCCACTTTGAGTAAAAAGCATTCCTTTGTAAGATGATTGGACTTGTGATTTTCATCGCCCTTATTCTGTCTGGATTCATTAGAGAACGCAGGATTTGCAAAGATGAGCCGTGCAAATGAACAGATTTGGATCATTAGATCATATACTACAAACGCAAAACGTGCTTGAATAGAAGAAATTCTGATTCACAGGCCAGTGGCAAATATCAATGTAGTGCTGACGTTTTCACATATTCCCCCTCAATGCTGGGAAGAGTTGAATAGGGGGTATAACGTAGAACTATTTTCAAATTTGGCAGCTGCCTCGGACAAAGAGAATAAGAATGGCATTGAACGTATCAAAAAACATTTAGCACAAGTAGTAGCTTCGTTTTTCATGTCTACTGATCCTCTTCTCGGTAAACACCTGCATCAAATGCTTTGAGGTTCCTCATGAAAGGATTTGGTGATTGATGTCCCGCGTTTTTCCAGTTGAGAGACACCTCAGACATACTAATACATATCGTTTTGTGTACAACATACTGCAAACTTCTTCGTGGAGGAATGTGCTTTATTGCACAAGATTGGCGACTATTGCCTGTCTAAAATTGCGCAAGAATTAAGCTTGAAGATTCATCATACCATTACTTAGAAAGAAGCAAAGATATAAAAACTGACAATATCATGTGTACAAAAACATGTTATTTTGGTACAAATCAGCAAAACCTCCATTAGCTTTTTTACAGAGTGTTGTCGCCTAAAGCGTAATAGAGTGCAATTTGCTCTTAATGAGACTTATTGTTGGAAAATTTGCATACAAGAACTACTAGCATACAGTCAAAATGCCAAATGTATCCAAACTTTTGGGTCGCGGTATGTTAATTTCCTTAAGACTGTGAACTAGTTTTGTTGCTTTTTCTATGTAAATCATTGTAGGGAATATGCAATTACTGTACTCTTTACGAGTTACCAATACGGTTCCCTTCTGATTAATCAATCGAACAAAGGCGCTGCTTCACGGCGCTTTGTCTAGGAGGAGTGTGTGTTAGGCTTCCTTCCGTAATAACTTGTATAAAGCTAGCCGGTAAATCACCCTATACCTTACATTCCTTCTTTGCTCTTTACTAATTCTCAACATTCACTATGCTGTGATATACTGTGAGAATACCGTTTCTCATGCTCTTTGCTTAAAGATCGTACAAATTCGATAACAATGCGCGTAGCCTCATAAGGAAAGAAGCAGCCGGCTTGACGAAGCCAAGGGCAGAGAGGAACCAACGACCACCCAAACCGGCTCAGTTTGTGGCTAACTTTCAATTATTTGTTTACTTCCTAATACTGCCATGTATCGTTCTCCGATTTAATATTGTCGTGTTCGATAAATCGTGTGAAGTTCTATTTGTGGATGCATCCAAGGCATTTGTGAATTATGAGATATATGTGCGTCGCGAAAGAGGACAATAAGACATTTATTACTTTCCAGCGAGTGCGGTCTTAAAGTAGCCCGCGATCTCACCGATTTCTTCCCTTTATCAGTTTTCTGTGTCCTTCTAAGAATAACTTAGAAGATGAGAGGTTTAACTTCGACCGAAGATAAGTTTGTCGCAAAAATAAAGTTATGCGGAGTCTAAAGGACGGCCGCCTCTTTAGTACATAATCTTTTTTCATTTTCTTGTCAATCCTAGTGATTTGTGATTGTTGGTGATATTTGTGACCGGGGATAAGTTTGTCTTGAAAATAACTTTTGACTATTTGTGTTTACTTCCTATGATGTCATGTATCGTTCCCCGATATAGTCATTGTCGTGTTGAGAAATAGTGTGAAGTTTCCTTCGCGGATACATCCTAGGCATTAGTGAATTATGAGATATGTGCCCTTCAGAAAAGAGGACGATAGGACATATATTACTCTCCAAAAGACACCCTAGTCAAAGCGGCGCGGAGCGGCGCAACTTCCAGCAGTCTAAGGCTCTATTCATAGCTGACGATGGGAAGTATGGCGGGCGCTAGCGACCGACGATCTCTTGGCTTTCTCTGGCGTCAAAGGGCGTCAAAATGGGTGCATTTTGGGTACGAGTTTGACTCGCAAATCTACACGCTAAAGTGTAGAGAACATTTTGAAAGGAAGTTTGTTAGAAACACAGGAACTTACATCTAAAATATCGCGAAACTGTCCAGAGCTCTGAAACTACAAACAAAGCCATTGATGAGCAGAAAGTTGATAAGTTGACGTTTGAATTTTAAAAATGTAGTGTTTGACCCAGTGGTTAGTAGTAATGTCTACTTCCTGGAGGCTTGCTTCAGGCAACTGCAGTTAATAAAGGGGTATCATGGTATAAGATCATCTGTATTAGAGAGATACTATTCATTCTGTATTCTTTTGTTTCATTATATATGCACCTATTTCAACAAATTATAAATGAACA